GTAGGTCATAATGGATCATCAGGGGTATCGATGGTCACTGGATGATTGTGGTTTGTTAATTTGGATACTTGAAACTACGCGAAATTTTTTTCCGTGATTGGAGAAGGAATAAATTCAGTACAAGCAAAATTTTTTCATGATTGGAGACGGAATAAATTCAGTACAAATTTTTTCATATAATTTTCAAATTACAAGGGAATTTAAAAAAAAAAATTAAACCTTTATTAATTAAATTTTATATAAAAAAAAAATTTTAAATTACAACCTCAACCCGGCATCATACTACCATCTTTCCCTTTTCATTTTATTTTAACAACAACATTTCACATTCCCTTTTATGGCCTGGCCGAGAATACATGAACCATTATAATATAAACTAAAAAGAAGGGAACGAGGAAAAAAAATTAAAACGAAAAAAAAAATCAAACATACCGCACGTGCCAACCGCAAGAAAACAATTATTTCTCATCTTATAACACATAAAAACGTACACAAAAATAACGTTTTTATCTCCCTTTTACAATAAGCATTTTACCGTCCATTTAACTTTTTCCTCTAACTTTTTTTATGTACCACAGCCGTAATACTTTTCTTTCTATACTACCATACATAAAACATAAACCAAAAATAAGCATGTTTTCTATAACCCTAATTCTCCATTACATAAAGACATACAAGAAAAATGTTTTTATCTCTTTATCACCATAAGCCAACCACCGCACTTTTAACTTTTTATTTATCTCTGACAGCTGTAATATTAAAATTACTTTATCATACTATTACCATGTAAATCATTATCCAAATTACCCTCTGATACGAAATAAAAACATATCCTACTAAGTTCTTGTTTATTCCTTATTTTTAAGTTCTTATAAATTACTAAACATAAATTCTCTATTCCAATGTTAAGAAAATTGTTATAAGTCAAACAATATCCAGACATTAACTTTTACATCAACCTGTCTGAACTGACCTATTTGGACCAAAATTGACCACAAAAACTTGTATCAATTGAAAAACCTAAAAAAAAATATGGTTCAATATACTGAACCCTGACACGATTTAAACCATTTAATTAGTACTTTTAAGAAAAATTAAAACAAAAAAAAATCGAGTATATCACTTATTTTACCCCAATTTCATGTGAGAGTATATCACTTATTTTACCCCGATTTCATGTGATCGAAGTGCAAATCCACTTGATAATCATTAAGACAACCTAATTTTTCTTCAAAAATTATTTCATATTTCTTCATTAAAAGAGATACATCTTCCCACATTTTATGTAATTCATTACTCTCAATAGTAACCATTGGGTTTCCATTATTGCTAATATTGTCCTCAACCTTTAATTCCATGGAATTTACATACCTCTCAGAATTAAGGGCTAAATTCACCTCTTCTACGGTTAAATCTGTCCCTTCCATTTCATAAACTTCTTCCCGAGTATTATTAGCAATATCTTTGTTTTTAGTCTCATTTAAGGCTGAATTATTAGGTATGGCAAAAATATTCCAATAATTATTAGGACCTAACTTAACAATCCAATCCCACCCCATGATGGTTTCCACCTCTTTCTCCACTACCCACAAATCTAAGAAAAATGTTGTGTCATGGATAATTATTTCCAACTTAGTTTTTCCCAAAACTACAATTTCAGACCCATCAAATTGTCTGACACACATAGATTCCTTTTCAAGTTTACCCCCAGGCCAATACTTATAATAATCTTTTTTAGACATTAGTGGAAGGCTAGCCCCTGTGTCAAACAACATGTCAATGTCCCTCGAGTCAACTCTTACCGTAACTCTCGGACAAGGACAAGGTTCAAATGATCGCTCAGTCATTAAAATCTCATATGTTTTAATTGACTGATCTATATCTATCTCATTTGAAACATCAGTTTCATAAGAATTCACATTTGAACATAAATTCAACTCGAAATTTAGCGGTTCATTAATAATATTCATATTCTTTCTAACAATATCACGGGGATATCTTTCCCATTCAGAAGTATTAACATCCTTCTTATCGGAATATTTAACAATACCCTTAGGATATTTCTCCCATCTAAAATTATTAGAGTCTTCATTATTTCTATTTTTATAATGATGAAAAAAATTTCTGTTACCATCACGGCTTTTATGTGAATCATATCTTATTTCAATATAGTTATTTAATTTATTACTATTTCTACCTCCCAATCTCCTACCTACTATATGATTACACTTGCAATCAGATAGTCAATTTTTGGTACAATTTATGGCTACATGTCCCGGTTTGTTACATTTAAAACACAAACGGGATTTACCATAATTCGATTGTAGAACCTCAAATTTATTCGGGTTGATACCAGAAACCTTTCTACATTAGAATCTTCTAATGTCGATTTCCTTAACGGAAAACCCTCACGAAAATTTTGTTCTTTGACTACACAGGTCTCTACCTTATGGCCCCTATACCCACGGCGGGTACATTTCAAATCCTCAAAGATTTTTCTACTCCCGGAAAAACCATTCTTTCTATCGGAGTTGTTTTTCACATTTGACCTCGTCGGACCATATATTTGGCCTTTATTACCATTACTATTCGAAATAACCAACTTATTTATATCCTGATATATAATCTTAATTACTTCTTTTATTTCTCTCAATTCTCGGAGGATAATTACAAATCTCTCCACAATATCCAAACTATCATCGTTATTACATTCCAAAGTTTCCACCATTTCTGGTCTGCCGTTCTTGATTTCATTTAAAACCACATTTAAATTACTTTCCAATACCGAAATCTTTTCCCAACAATCAGCCGACACTGGAGTGTCTCTTTTCCAATTACCATATACTTTGGTCGCAACCAAAATACATTTTCCAAATAAAAATTTCAAAATAATATAAATTAAATATATAATTACTATTAATCCTAATGTAATTAAATGATGGCCTATATCCAATTCATTAATGTTCTGATACAAGATTTTATAACCCATATCCTTAAAGATGGCAACTTTATTAATAAAAGTAGGCTCAGAATACTTATCGAAATACACCACCATCGCATATTACAAATTTTTACTCTAAAATTACGTTATTACAGAAAATTATATTATTCAAAAATTGCACTTTAATCGAACTAATCTAAAAAAAATCATTTTAAAACTATTTTTTTTTCTTAAAACCATTTATTAATTAAATTTCTAAAAAAAAATTTAAACAACAAAACTGTGATTGAGTTGGGTCTTGAGGAGAGATACAAAATGTAAAATAAAATATTGATTTTACCTTATAATAACGAATAACCCTGGTATCAAGAATATCCTAGTCACGGTCAACAACTGAAAAAAAAAAATCAACTACGAGAAAAAATAAAACCTTACTTGAAATCCCTTACTATACTCAAATTACAATTTAAGGGAACTAACTCAAGAAGGTTATTTTGTAACAACACGATATTTTTATTCTAATATTTTATTAACATGATTTTTTAAATAATCAATTATTTATAATAAACGAATTATTTCAGACAATAATTTCAAAAATAAAAAAATTTCCACAAAAAAAATAATAATGATTCATGGTAAAAAAAAATTTTTACCAAAATTAAGTTGAAATGATTGACTTTTCAAATATAAAAAAAAATATACTATAATTTACGACAGAAACCTATATAGTTTTTTACATGTATTTACACCCAAATATAAAAAAAGCGCTATCCAATAATTATTCTGGTTTCCTTAGAATATATTTTCATATTTGTGCATTTAACGCCCTCTTATGGATTATTTGTTAAATTTTGTAATTAAAAAATAAAATTTAAGTTGTGTTAAGCTAGAAAATATTATTTTTTCCAATAAAATTACGTAAAAATAGAATTTAAATTATTTGATAATTAATCTCAATTTTTTACTTAATAGAAAATTGATTTATGTACATAAAAAAATGTTTCTGAAAATTATTTTTAAAAAAATATTATATAATCAAATTTTGATTGATTATGATTAATTTCTTCTTAGCAATGCAGTATTTAGTCATACCCTTATAGACCTACCCTAAAAAATTTAATTACGAATATTTGCCTATAATTCTATAATTAAGGAATTTACGAATAATTTAAACATATTATCTGTCAAAAGAATTTATTTTAATTATAATAATAAATCCAATAACTAGGCTTAATATGATGTCTTATTTACGACAGGCGTTCTTAGAGAAAGTTAGTCTAGTCTAAGGAATTTCTTTTTGAAAAAGAAACTACACACCTTTTAAAACAAACTTTGAAAATAGTTTATTGTTGATAATAAAAATTTACTAAACCAAATTTTTATAAAAAAATATATTATTATTCGTTTAAAATTAAGTAACTTTTAATGTAATTAGTTCTTTTGAAATGTAACAATAACAAGTTACCAGTTACTTCGAAGAATGTAATAGTAACTGTGATTAGTCATTTTTTATAGAATTTAATTTGTAACTATAACTAATTATTTTTCAAAAGAAACTTTTAACACTTGTAATATATTTAATAATTCTTAATATAAGTAAATAAGTTCACGTAAAAAAATATATTTGTCTATGGGTGTATATCATTGTCTATCTTATAAGTAAATTTTAGATCTTAATCTTATTATTTGAAAAAAAGATGTTCGATTTGCTCAGTTCTCCTTAAATTTTATAAAATATTTTGGTTCATATTTAATATCTTTAACTTTCTTTTTTCGATCTTTATTTGTTTTTTTTATTATATAAATCATGTAATAATACAATTGTATATCTTTTTAAGTTCTCACAGATTTTGATTATGAAAATTATTCATTATTTTGTAGATAATCTAAAGTTTAACAAATTATTAAAGTGTTTGAGTTACAAGCTATTATAAAAGCGTATAAACGTTAAAAAATATCACGTAAGAAAATATTTCGTAAAAATATCGATATACTGAGTCTATGTAAATTTTTTTTAAAATCATTTTTTCGATTTAAAGGACTTTAATAATAATTTCGTTCAATCCCCACCATTAGCCATGACAATGTTCATAGCATCATCCATGTTCCCAGGCTGATCTAGGAAACCGTCGCAACAATTTCTCCAAGTAATTCTATCTTGACCTTGAAAAAGGCCTCGGCTCCTCATATCTTGGCAAGCATTTTGAATCCGTGATTTAAGATCAGCTGGAATGTTTCCATCTCTCACTGCTGTCAGGGTCATCTGAACCTGTTGATCGTGTGTCATCATCATCATCATGCCGCCTCTCAAATTTCCTCCACCAAAATTGGGGCTACTTCCTCTGAACTGTTGAATAGTCTGTATGCCGCGTGGCTCTTGGCCCACTGACTGCTGGGGACCTGAGGTTTTTATTTTGCCTCTTCGATCCTCTGAACCACCTTCCAGTCTTCTGCCTTCTTGTAACCTTTCTCTGAAACCTCCTGGTTGTCTACTACCCAAGAAACCCCCTTGAGATCCTCTACCATCTCGCCCTCTTTGTAGCCTTTCCCACTCTCCTGGTTGTCTTCCACCCCCAAAACCACCTTGCGATCTTCTGCCATCTCGCCCTTCTTGTAACCTTTCCCTCAAACTTTGTCTTCCACCCCCAAAACCACCTTGCGATCCTCTGTCATCTCGCCCTTCTTGTAACCTTTCCCTCAAACTTTGTCTTCCACCTCCGAAACCACCTTGTTGCCCTTTGTCATTTCGACCTGCTTGTAGTCTTTCCCTTAAACCTCCTTGTTGTCTTCTACCCCCCAAACTACCTTGGGGTCTTATATCATCGAATCTTCCTTGTAATCTTTCTCTGACTCCTTGTTGTCTCCCATCTCCGAAACCACCTTGCGAGCGTCTGTCATCTAATCTGTCTTGTAGTCTCCCCCTCAAACCTCCTTGTCCTCCAATACCTCTATCTCGGAATCCTCCTTGCGTTCCTGACAATCCTCCTTTTTGCCTCCCTATTCCTTGTGGTCTATCTACGAATCTTCCACCTCCAAAACCCCCCTGACCTCCACCAGGACTCACAAAACCTCCTCCAAAACGCCTTTGGCCTCCACCAGAACTGAAATCACCTCCTCCAAAACGTCTTTGGCCTCCACCAGAACTCAAACCATCTCCTCCAAATCGACCTTGACCTCCACTAGGACTCAAACCACCTTCTCCAAAAATATCCCTACCATCGCTACCTCTATCAGATACTCTTCCTGGAGGTTGAAGAGCAATACCACCTCCATAAATCTGATAAATTAAGTTGGCAGTTACCTAATTTTTTTTTTAAATGCATACTATATAATTAAAAAATCTTTATAGTTAAATCAGGCATAGCAGGAAGAAGTGATTTAGAAATTATTTTTATTTTGTTTATAATAAATATTTATTTTGAGAATAAAGATTCAGCAAACCTATAAATTGCGATGAAATTAAAATATTAAAATAATTATATTTTCCCTTATTTATTAATTAAGTGAATATGGAAAATATATTATAAAATGTAAACCAAAACTTAAGTATATACTTCTAAATTTAATTCTCTTTTGTGATTTCATTATTAATTCTATTTTTTAGGAATTTTATTTTTTAAATAGGAATTTGTTTAGAATTTTGAGTTAATATTTATAAAAGTTTTAAAAAAACTTACCAATCCAAGTAATAAAAATGTCTTGGGTATCATTTTGTAATTCTTTATATACCTTTTATAATTATATTATTTATTATCGAATCAAATGTAATGTCATTTAAACAGATTCAAAAAAAATTAACAATGCTTAATGTGGCTCTTTATAGTTTTTTAAAATTAGGTAAGTCTCGTATTTTAATTGAAAAGTAATATTTTTTAATTTCAAATTTATGACTTTCTAATTTTAAAAAATATATATCGTATGAACAAATCGAATAAGAATAATATATTTTATTATTCGGTGTTATTCCATTCGTTCAAGAAAATCAAATACGAATAATTCAGTATTCGATTCGTATATTCGTTTTTGAATAGGCTGAGTAGGAAGCCTTAATTCATTTTTTTACCAAAATAAAAAATGTAATAAAATTAATAATTTAAAAGAAACTTAGACTCATTAAAATTATGATGTTATAATATTTTTAAAAAAAAATTCTTAGTAAATCCACAAAATTATGTGTTAATATAAATGAGAATTATTTTTTGAAAAAATCAATTACCCGCTAATGGATTAAAGTGGATCTAAGACAAGAAAAAGAAGATATTTTTAAATATTTTTAAAAAAATGAAACTTTGTTTTAATAAAAAAAAATTAAATTATAAAAATTATCTCCAATTCTAATCGCTTTTTATACTTCGTGCATCAAACCTTAAAGGTTAAAAAAAATGTTATCTTTCCTTTATTTAAAAAACACAAAAAAAAACTAAATTGTGAAGATGAATAAAATAAGAAAGGAATTAAGTTTAAAAAAAAAAAATCGCATTGCGATAAAAATAACGCGCTTGATTCAATGTCAAGTTTAGTCACAAATGAAAATTAATTTTTTGAACTAATCCGAGGACAAATCGAATGATATTTTGCGTATAAAATATATTTGTTATTGTTAAAAACGCACTTTAAAAAAATTCATATTAATAATAAAAAATTACAAATTTCTTTTTGTTTTTAAAAAATAAATTTTCCACTTAATTTGATTAAGGTTATAATTTACAAATATAATTACATAAATAAGATAGTATAAATAATTATTTTTGTAATAAAAAATTAAGTTCTTTAGAAATTTTTTATCTTGGATATTTATTAAATTTCTATCACTTATATTATATTACCCAGAGAAAGGCCCAGCCCTGAGCTCTGCCCGAGTATATGGGCTGGGTCATATTTTAATTTTTTTTAATATACCCAGTTAGGCCTAAAACTTTATTTTAACTACCCGGGCTGGGCCTAAAAATCATTTTTAAACCCCGGCCAGGCCTAAAAAAATTTTACCTAGGCCAGAAGAGGCCGTATATTTTTAAATTAAATATAATCACCATTACTAGCTAAAAAAAATTAAATTATAAATAAATATAATATATTTTTAAAAAAATTGGGTCTGACAGGGCTTGAAAATAAATCACGAGCCGTGCCGAAAAAATTTTTGAAAAAAAAATCCGAACCGGGCCGTGCCGTACAAATAATACCTCTGCAGGTCTCTGATATTACCCATAATTATAATCAATTATTATTTAAAATAAAATTGTCAGGGTTGAATAGAAAATTATGCGAAGGAAAACAATTAAGGAAACCTGTAACAGACCTTGGGGAGAGTTATGGAGTGATTGAAATTCTAATTTCGGAACAATTTCGGGAGTTCCAAAAAATAAATATAAAATTTATAAATAATATTTTATAATGGCTCATAAATATTCTTTTTTCTGTTCTCAATATTATATTTATGGACATACGCTCTGGTAATACTCAAGACCAAGAAATTTTTTAAGACTAGGCGGTTTATGTTAGGGCCTGATATTTGTAGGATTAGTATGCCTATATGAGTGTTTTTAAAATTGTTAAATATATCTGTCTGTTTTTTGCTTTGCATTGGACCTTTAGGGGAGCGAAAATTTATATTAGTTTAGACTTTGGTTATCCATTAGATTCTAGAATAGATTATTAGAGTAGTTTTTTAATTTAATGGAAAAATTTTGTTTTGTGAAATGAAAAAATTTCTTGATTCTAAGCACACCTTCTTTAGGGTCGAGCTGGGCTGGTTTTTTAAACAATTCGGGTTCGGGCCGGGCCGGGCTTGAAAATTAGGCCCGATGCAGATCACTAATTTATGTGACTAAAATTTTAAAAATATTTTTTCTAAATAAAATCAGAGGCCTTCTGAAATCTAGATTTTAGGTCAAGATACGGTTCGGAATATTTTTGGACCCGGCTTGGATTTTTATTTATAATCATTTTTTGCGGCCCGGATTTTTAAAAATTTAGTTATTTTGAATAGATTTGGTTGTATTTTTTAAATTGTTTAGAGGGGTTAAAAATATACGCAATAAATAATAGTGTATTGCTTAAAAATTTAGCGGAGGGGGGGGGCTACAATTTGTTTAAATTTAGTATAAAAAATAAACAATTTTAATAATTGATTAATTTTATTATACAAATAATAAATAAATTTATAATTTATATTATATTTTAAAAATATTGTCACATCTATATAAATTATAATATATATTTTTGTAAATGTACACTTTATTTATACACATTTTTATTCACCATCATTCACTCTTAAATCGGTGGGTCTATTTATCGCTCGGCTGAAAATATCGCTCGGTTAGGAAATATCGCCCGGCTAACCCCATTATAAATCATTTTATTACTAAATATCGCTCAGCTGAGAAATGTCACTCGGCTAACAACATAATAAATCATTTATTATTAAATATCGCTCGGCTGAAAAATGTTGTTCGGTTAACCACACAATATAACGGTTCCATGTCAATTCAGCGAAACTTTTATCGCAAACACTTTTTCGCGAAACTTTTATCGCGAAACTTTTATCGCGAATGTCGTTTATCGAGAATGGATTTTATAGCGAAACTTTTATCGCGAATCCATAATAGCGAATACTATTCCGCGAATGCAATATCGCGAAACAAATATCGCAAATTTTTTATAGCGAATACATACCGCAAATGCAATATCGCGAAACAAATATCGCGAATTTATTATAGCGAAACCATTAATGCGAATGCGAATGCGAATACATTACCGCGAAACTTTTATCGCGAATCAATAATCAAGAAAATTTTATAGGGAAACCTTTAAAGCGAATACATTACCGCGAAACTTTAATCGCATCAATAATCGCGAAAATTTTATAGCAAAGTTATTATCGCGAAACGCATATCGTGAAGACAATGTAGCGGCAATTATTTCGCGAAACATATATCGCGAAGATATTATAGAGAATTTAATATAGGAATAATTGCTAATAATGACTAATTTATTTTGAATAATTTTTTTTATAATTATATTATTTGAATAATATTTTTTTAATTCACATAGTTAGTAATTTTCTTTTAACCTTAAAAAATTCATATAGTGATTAGTAAACTTAGATCTGATTTATGAAATTTGTTATTGAAATACTTTTTCGCTATCCTATCATTTTCTTCGAAGTTCTTATTTTATAATAATCGCGCACAAGGAACTCAGTTTTATCAATATATTAATAATTGAGTTTATTAGTTAAATCTTGATATTTACTGGCGAAATTGATATCTGGGTAGCATTCCTATTTATTGTCTGATTTATAAATTTATCAATCAATTTTGGCCAGGGTTAGCAAGTCAGTCAATTGACCAGTCAAATGACTAGATTTTGACGGGTCAATTGAAGGGGGGAATATTTGACCTGGTCAAATGGTCAAATATTCTATAAGATCTGAATATAAAAATATGTTTGAAAAAGAAAAAACGATATAAATACATGTGATCACAATGCTGCTATTTATTGAGTTCCTAATATTAAGGAGAGCATTTTAATCATAGTGAATTTAATGAAGTATGTAATATAATAAAAGGATTAGCATACAAGGTGGTGATCAAAATATTTCAAGTTATATTATAAATTTCAGAAATAAAAGCGGCTTGTTTAATAGAAAATCATGGGGAAAGCAGTAACTTCCATAAGAAGCAATCAGATTTCAATTTCAAGCAGTGAAATTAGCTTTGACCACCATGGACATTAAGAGAAGTGGCATTACTAACAATTCCTAGATCTACTTCTTCTTCAGAAAGAAATTGGTCAATTTGTGTCAATAATCTTACTAAAACAGAAATCGATTGAAGATTTAGACAAAAAGAAAATTGATTAAAAAATAATAAAGAAAATGATGATATTCAATATAAATATTTATTTGATTTTGACCATATTTGACCGGTCAAATGCACAACCGTGGTTTTGGCAGTCACTATTCTTAAACAGTGTAGATGAATAAAGTCTACAACATTACTGTTTAGAATATCAATTTTGAATGGCAATTCAAAAATAAATTACATCTAATTGAAATAAGGGATTTCCCCAATTTAAAATATTTATTAATCTTATTATTTTACGATCTTTATAGAAATAAGTAAAACAATTAGAATATATTTATTTATAATTTAAAAATTTTTAAAATTATAATACTAATTGTAAAATAAATTTTACATGCAATTATAAAATATATCTAATATAACAAGTCATATATTAAAAATGAGTGTAAATTTTAAAATATCGATGGCTCTAAAAAGAGCTTATAGTAAAAAAAGTACCTAAAAAACATGTATAATTATGTTTAAAAATTTCTAATTGTATTTTTTGTTTTAGGAAGGTTGACTCGCGTTTTTCGTTTGTTATGTTAAAAATTTTACGTGCTAAAATTTTTAAAAAAGAATATGTTGATTGGGAGAAATTACCATTAGTTGAGATGACTATGGGTTGAAAAATAAAATTATTTAATATTGAGTATTTATTGATTTTTTTATTTTCGCCATTAGTAAGAGGATTTGAATTAATTGATGAGGGAAAGGAAGAGACACAGGTAGCGTCCCAGATTAGGGATTTCCCATTGGACCAAGGGATGCAGGTTAGACCGTCAGGTCTGAGGCCATCTTGTAGAGAGAGGTTTGTAGGTTCTAGAATGTTAGGAATTTTAGCTTTATTGAGAGCATTATGGATGATTTTATTTATTGCTTTATGCCGGAGGTGGCGACCTTGGCTACGGGAGCAGTTTAGGCCGTGTCTTGCGTTTGGTTGTACGGGTAGGTTGCAAAGGTGGCAAGTGTGTGAATGTGTTAACGAGCATCCTAGTCTTAATCCTATGGTAACTCTCAGTTGGTCATTGGTTAAGAGATTATCAAGGGTTAGGCTAGGAAGTGCCTCGAGCCATTCATATCCGCCATATTTATCGTTTAATTGAAGTAGTTGAATATCGCTAATATCGGAGGGGTTAAGATTATTTTGAAGTTTCTTTATAAGGGGTTCCAAGATTGATTTATTAGAAATTTCGGTTGGGAATGTTTGACCGTCTGGGGTTAGTAGATTCCATTTTTCGATTGCTACTGTTAAGAGATCGTCATTGGGAGTTATAAAAGATGAGATCGCGGAATTGAGCGAAAGGCGATTAGAGATAAAAAGAGATAGGGAGAGTAATTCTAAGGGGATTCTTTTCTCTTTATTTGGATAGGGAGGGGGGAGGGGGGGGGGCGTGATATAGTATAATATCTCGGAATTAGTTTCAATTAATTCAAATATAATATTTTGATATGGGTTCTTATTGAATCTTAAATAATTTTAAAATATAATAAAAAAATAGCTACACTAAAAATTAACAAATAATTAATGACATATTTGATAAATTATAATTATTTTAAAAAAAAGTATTGCCGAAATTTTAAAAAAAAAAATTTCTCGTCTGGCTGGTGCCATTCCTTTGGTTATAAATTATAAATATTTTCGCCATTCTTTCCTCTTTATTTCGGAGTCTTATAAAATATGTTATCAAGCAAAAATAAGGAGATCTTAACATTTAAAAATTATTTGTTCCGCATGGATAAAGTAGTCTCAGATACAAATTATTATAGATTCCTTAATCAAGATATATTTAAATGTCCCGTACGACTTACAAAAAAAATGTTAAGATAAAAGATAATAAAGAAATACACAATCATCCAGAAAATCCAATCGAAATGGAAACCAAGAAAATAATCAATTCAATTAAGAATGAAGCTTTGAATAATACTATGGGAACTCCAAACTTTATTGTAGCGAAATACGTATCTCAATTAAGTGATTCCATATCAATAAAACTACCATCACCGAATCTTATGAAACTTATAATTCAACAAAC